AACATCTGAGCAGCCACAGTCTACAGACAGACACTGAGAAAGGTCAGCCATCTGCCTCGCTTGTTAAGCCGCCACTGGATGCAACGAAGTGATACAAGCAATGTGTGCATGTGTGCTTCCATGCATGCAGTGGGTGGAAGTGTTGTGGCAAAAAAAAAAAAAAAAGAAAAGAGGAAAATGGTTTTGCGGAAAAAGATCCAAAAAGATGACGAGAACGGAGCAGAGTCTTTTCCCCAACTTCTGACAGTTTTTCGGTCCAGCTCCCTTCCTCCTATCAGAGTCACCACCTGCCCCCCCTTCTTACCACCCACCCAACCTCCGCATCTCAAGATCAACATGGCACTCACTCATCCCCCCCCCCACCACCATCACCCAAACCTTCCTCCGTCGTCCACGACTCCAGGGACCGCCGTGCCAGGCGGGTGCAGGGTGACAGATGGCATACACCAACCTCCCTCCCCTCCTAGAGCTCTTCTCTCCTCTCCCTCCTACTGCATCAGCCCCCCTGCTCGGCCCCCCGCCCCCCCCTCCTCCGGTGGCGCAGCGGCGGACCAGATCAGTGCCATTCTGTCTCATTAGAGCCTGGCTAATTAGCGTAGCCTCTTCCAGGGGAGAGTGAGTGAGTGTGAGAGAGATGGAGAGAGGATGATGATGGGAAGGGAGGGCGTTGGTGGCGTTGACGGCGATCTGTGCTCTTCTGGTCATTGAGGAGTCGAAGGGCATTGAGCCCCGCGGTGCGCCGGGCTCCCAGGGCGCTTGTTTTGCGACAGCGGGGTCTCTGATTCCACCCACTGCATAATTCCTCTCAGGAACTGTCGAGAATGTTTAGACACTAAAGTCAAGCCAAAGGAATTGCCCCAATCTGCTCCACACCACCATGCAGCTAGCATCCCAATGCTACGCTAAATATTAGCTGCCAGACTCACCGCTCCCCTTTCAACAACGTTGCTATCAAATCAGAGCTGTTCATATCATATCTAGCACCTCTATAGCTTTGATCAAACCGGGCTGCTGTGGTTTCTAATGGCTGTGTCATAACTGGATCAGAACCAGTTATTTTCTGCAATTTGGACGAGTCCTGAAGCTAAACAGAAACGCACTAATCCTGAAGCGTTCACTCGCCAAAAAAAAAAAAAAAAAAAAGTCTCTGATTTCAATCGAAAACGTCTCTGCTTCTTTTTCAGATTGACTGGAAGTGAGTTGCAACCTTTAATCAGATAAAGTGACGTGGTTCAGGTTAGATTCACAGCTCTATAGTTGCATCTCTGAAAATGTGGCAGTAAAAGAGTGATTGAAATGCAACACTGAATATGTGAGAGGAGGTGGAGGAGGGGGGCTGTTAGGGTCTGGCAGAGGCCTGCTGTGGTTACGAGCCCTAAGAGAGAACAGGATGGCTGTGTTCCAGATACCTCCCAAACACACAGAGTACACACATTCAATCTGCCTAAACAGAAACCTATATCTACTACAGAGGAAGCACAAACACAGATCTATACACACGTCGGCAAACACTCAGTGGAGCAGAGCAGGCACCAATCAGGTAAATGTTTACTACTCCTCCATCTTAGGAAACACGAGATGAAATAAGGACCGAGTTTCCTTCAGGGTTCTATCAGCTACTCTTCTCTGATTAAATCAAATGCTTCTCCTAAACATAAGGCTGCTAACAAACACCCACTGAGCGCACACGGGACTGACGCACTGGTCAGCTGATTTGGTGTTCTGAAACACCCCACCCCCAAGCTGAGCCTGAGCTGACGGGACAGTGCCAGCTTTGGTGATGAGGCCTCTCCGTCACCCTCCCCCAACGATTATTTCCCTGGACCCCATATGGGCACCCTGCCAGTCGAGCCCATCCTCCATCCTCATCGCCAACCACGTCCCCGACGCTCACTGCTGGCACGATCCTTTCATTCTGGGTTTCTGTAGGGTTATATTTTGCCTCGCACGGCTGCAAACATCTCTTGACCTTAGCTACAAACCGAAAGGCAGTAAAGATGGCGATGTTGATAGCTCATGTGAGGAAAAATCCTCCAATCAGAAGGAGCTATGATTTCACCACTAACACCTCTTTTCAAGTGAGCAAGGAGAGATGAGTTGGCAGCAGCATGTAGCAGGGTTAAACAGACACAGAGTCGGTGCTAATTACTTACTTGTTTTGCCTTCCCAGAAATGAGTTCTTGAGAATTTGTTTTTTTTAAATGAATGAATAGAAGGTAGATTCTGTTCTTCCTCTTTTGTATAACGAAACATTTTATTTTCAGGCAGTATTAACTCAGCAGCATTCACGGAAATCAGAGCAGTTAAATTTCAGAAAACCATGAAGAGATTAAATCTATAAAAACAGCTTTTCTCAGAAAAAACAAAATACATGTGGTTTCTAATTGGCTTCGACTGTGGTTTTGTATTTATGTTGGAATATTTTAGCAATTCGTTGAGACATTGACCCCCTAACAAAAACAAATCACGTATCTCAAGAGGAGATTCAAGGTTAAAAAATAAATCACCATCACGATCACAATTATATTTTAGAAAAGAAAAAGGCGAAAATTTTAAATTCGGCAAATGAATCTATTTTTATTACTGTTTTAGAACATCTAGCAGGGTTAAGATCAATGTGGGCAACAATTCATTAAACATCACTGAAGCTGGCTTTCTTTTGGTTAGCATGATAAAGGCCTATTTCCCCGGACAACTTAGATCGGCTTAGTTTCAAAATGTACGACTTTTATACAAGAAAAATCAGCAACATTTGAGAAAAATCCACAAGATTTGAAAAACTTTGTTTTTGTTGTAAATTCTATTAAATTAAAAATATTTGATTCCTTGGATAAAGACCTGAATGTGCCACATAGGTAGAGCTGCCATTTGGTAATCAATCTGTTGACTAATTTTATTTTTAATAGATTACAAAGGCAACTTGATAGATTTTTTACAGAATTTAAGCCTAATGAAGCTAAAACGTTCTAGGAATTATGTTAAGAATATATTTAAAGAATTTTTTTTCCCTCATCGGTACAAATTCTGTTTTTTTGTAACGTTTGGCTAAATCAAGCGATCACTGATCTGATTTATTGTTGCAGCCCGAGGTTAGAACCTAAGAAATGTTTGATATGTTATCTACAAGCTGGTAATTTTTTTTTTATCTAGTTCTTTTTGTATTTTTGCTTTATAAAATTACGTTTTTTGACCATATCTGAAGTTTCACATTATGTGCAAATTTGAAATAAATGATCCGTTACATTTTTTTTTGAAAAAGGTCATCCTATTTATACAACACTGAGAGGATTGTTTTCTTTTTTTTTTTATTACAGATTATGTAGCGCCTACCATTTTCTTATCGCCATTTCTAGCTGAACTTGGAAAATATATGAACAAACAGTTTCTTTTAAAACTGCACAGGAACTTTTTTTTGCTTTTTTCATGTTGATTTATCAAAAAGAAAAAATGTTTTATAAAAAAATGGAGCTGAAACCAACAAATGTTAACATTTCCTAAGATAATATTCATTTTAACAGCTCCTGATTAGTGGGGATTTCCTTTTTAGACAATTTCAGTACTGCTAGAATATATAAGAATCTACAACATTGAAAAGTTTTTTGCTGGTTTAATGGTTCCGAATCTGACTTTAAAAAATAAACTGAAGTCTGGATTAGCAGGAAAAGCCTGATCGGTGAATCTTTAACATAACAAGATATGACTGGAACCTGTCGGAAGTTTCTTGAAATGATGTGTAAATAACTCAATTGAACAAAATTTCTATACACGCAATAAATCTACATAAATTTGGAAAGATTAAAATAGAAGCCACCACCTTAACGCTCTTCAAAAAGTGACAAGGAGACACATTTTTCTGTTAGCTTCCAACATTTTTTAGGGAGCAGGTTTGCGTTTGGAGCAGCGACTGGTCTGAAGGTTGCTGGGAGCTGTGGCGGCTGCTGAGGTAAGGGGGGAGACCAGCTGCCCGGGAAGCGCCCATTACGAGATGGAGCCAGAGATAAGTGCTCTCACAGGCCCCTTTTCAGAGGCATAATTAGCACACTTCTTATCTGCAGCTCAATTCACATTCACACCCGCCTGCCATGAATGGAACGTGAAAAAGAGGCAGAAATCGGAGGGAACGGCGGAGGCAGAGGGGCAAGACGTAGAGACGGGAGGGGAGGCGGGGAGGGCACGGTGGAAATCGGTTCCCAGACAAGCCGTCAATTTGGGAAGAGGTGAGACAGGAGCGAGTTAATACTGCGACTGCCTTTTCTCTTTCTCCATCCTACGAAGGAGTCTTTGAACTCTTTAACAAAAACAGTGGTTTGTGCATCAAACTGCAATTTGGTAAAACAAAGCTATCTGGGGCTATAATCATCCTAATCAGCAAGAAAAAAAACATAAAGCCTTTGCAGATATTTCGAGATTATTCCGCCCTTGGTGATCTATTTCCCCACCCGTCCTCCTCATCAGGCACAATTGTGGAAATCTCTCCAGCTCTGCCTGCGACACACACATTAACGCTAAGTCCTGGGTGCCGCAGCTTTAATTGCTTTTAATAAAGAGTTAAACTGCTGGTGTGTTTTCTCCTCGTCTGTTTCTCTGTTTCCAGCACACACAGGCTCGTATTGTTCGAGCTTTGTGAGAGCTGACAGGGGCCCCTCATCATCATCTTACTGCGCCGAGCTAATATAAACAGGTTTGTTTGGTGTTGAAACAGCGTCAACTGAACTCCAAACCCACAATAAAGAAGACATGATGACGATAACTCACTGCTGCCATGTTTCTGGAGTCAAACACATTTCTCTCCTTTTACCTAAAAGTTTTCATCTGGATTATTATCATGGGGGTGATCAAAGATTAAAGAATGTCTATAAGGGGTTAAATTAATCAAGGATCTATCTTTTTCAGGCTACTTAAAGATGCTTTAAAGGGAAACTAAACCAGATAACAACAAAAAATTCTCCATTTTGTTTGTTCTTATTTGTTGGGCGTTTGGTTGTGGTGTGTTCAGGTACCTGGCTCTTAGACGCGGCCACCTTGGCGAACAGGGCCTGGGACACCTTGGCCCGCTTCATCTCCTGCTGGATCTCGTCATAGATGGTGGAGGTGATGTTCAAGATGCAGTTCTCGGTCTTTCCGTTCCACTCGCTCGGCAGAGGCGATGGTTTCACCTAAAAAGAGAAAAGGTGAGAAAACTGCTAAAGAAGTCTGAGCATTTTGAAATGAAAATGTATTTTATTGTCTATAAACTCTACTTAACTAAACTACCAGAAACAGTAAAGTACCCAGAAGGTCCTTTCCTATTCAAACATGATTTTGAAAAAGTCGTTTTTTGTCATATTATCTTCTGCATATTTGCCATTTTTTTCCTGATACAGTTTATGGCAAACTGAAATCTTTAGTTTCATGGTTTTCTCTCATTAACAGCTTTCAATCTGCCACTCTTCAATCATTCTCCTACCGCTTCGCTGTTATGTCTCAGTGTTAGTCTATCAAAATCACTCCTCTCCTTCATCTCGCTTCCAGGATACATTTTAAAATCCTAGCCCCTACTTTTAGGCCTGACTGCATTCCTGGTCTGATTCTCCTCGTAGCCTGAGGTCTTCAAGTGAAAATCTGCTTCTGGTTCCTGGAACCAGTTTTTGAAGTCGAGGAAACGGGTCTTTTAAAGCAGTGGCAACGAGCTTCCTTCATCTCTATGTTCCCTGGACTCTGTGGACACTTTTATAAAGCAGCTGAAAACGTGACTGTTTACACAAGCTGTTCAAAACAGCTAATCATCTTATTCATTTAATTTTTACTTTCATTTTAATTGTGTTTTCTTGCTTTTTCTTTGTTTATTTGTATCATTTGTTTTTGAAAAGTCTGTGAAAAGTGCTAAACAAATTAAGTTTACTTGTATAAAATCCTACTTAAAAATGTGTATTTTTAGCATGACAAAATATGAAAGACAGTCAAAGGATAGAATTACTTTGTTCAGACACTTATGGTTCTTATGATTTACAGGGAGGTGACAAGTGAGTGAAGGCCAGCAGGAGTACAGGATGCCTCGCAGACATATTAGCTTTACCAGCACATGATGGAGTTTGATGGGGGTCGCTTTATGGATACGCATGAGGCCAAGTGGTCGGATCCTGCACTCACTCAGCATGTGGGGTTATGTTAGAACCAACAGCATTGTCACAACTGAGCTTTCTTCAATGTGACCCCGTATCAAACTCTGACAGATGCTGGTAATGTTTTGAGATGTGTCTAGGGAGCATATCACCCATCACTGGTCTGCACTTGTACCAAATTACATCCAAACTGCGCGGCACCTTCTTGATACTTTACTCTTTCAGTGAGGGACCTCATTTACTGATACTTTCTGCTGTCTAAAGGTGTAGTGAGCATGCAGTGGCCGTGGGTGTAATCGTGTGTTCACATTTTGCAGTGTTGCAGTTGGAGGGGTGAGTGGGTGACGCTGTGTGCTCACAGGTGAAATGCCCACAGGAATTCGGGGATTCCAGTCCTCTGGCCTCACGCTGTTGCAGTCTTCCCGTCGGGGCTGAAAAGGAAAAAGAAACAGCCATGTTTGTTCAGGCTCACACTTGGAACGATAAAAAGGAATCTGTCTGCACTGATACAGACACGCACACACACACACAGGGGTGTAGATTACACCCACACAAGAGCTGGATTGTTGCTTAGCTTAAAACCACTCCGATGTGTTGTATGAAATGTTAGTATTCTTATGTGGAGCTGGTGATTAAAAAGCAAATGCAAGTCAAGTGAAATCAAATCATTTTTAATCAGCGGCTTGTTGCATCTTGACAAAAATCTTTTGACAAGGTAACAAGCATCCTAATAAAAGCATTACCCAAGAATCATTAGCATATGAATCATTCCATATGAGGCTTTTGAAAGGAGACATGCACAGGGCTGGGTATGAGTGCAAGTGAATGGCATTCAAATAAATTATAATAACACCAACAGCGAACAACTCCTACCAAATAAGAGCCTGAGATCAAAAAACATATATATATATTCAAGTATTTGTCTAGCCGCCTAATGCGAGGCTGATGTGTTAACGCCGATCCCAGAATCCTGAAATTTGTGGTTTAGATGAAATGTCTGGGTATCCCTGCCTCTTTTATCTTCTTTCATGACAGCTTGACGCCGTAGCCCGTCAGTCTGAGTGGGGCGATACCGTGTCAAACAAATTGTCGAGGCTGGGACGTGCAGCGACTGGCTTTGGGGGGAGCCGTGCTGAGCCGTCAGCACACATGAGAGAAACATACCTCTGCATCTGTTTTTATGAGGCCAATAAAAAGCCTCCTCTGTCTCTGGCTCAATTGCCACCTTGGCTGATTTATGTGCTTGAATTTACACTGCATTGCTCCACCGCTGAGGCTGGCAGATGGCCAGGGCGCACCAAGCGAGCAAACCTGCGCCTGTGGTCGTGCGTGAGAACTGCCTTGTACAGGAGCGGCTCTATAAGATAAATGTCTGCGAGCTGTAGTCACATGGGGGAAGTATACAACCCCTGGAGCGATTGGGCTGATGTGTCAACAGTATTGTGAGAGCTGTGTGAATAAGAATCAAAAAGCAGATGCCTTGAACTTTTTTTATTCTTTGTCTTGACTGTTAACACTGCATATTTACAGCAGTTAAATGTGTCACTGTAGTGTCTCCATTGAGTGGTTGTGTCTCCATTGATTAGCTGGTTGATGCAACACTGAAAACTTTTAACTGCATTAGTTCTTGTATTGTTATGATTTGTTTGCACATCTGATTTTTTTTCTACTTGCTGACTGTTATGTGTGCAAAAAAGTTTTGCGCTTTAGAGTTTGAAACTGGAGTTGCCCCGCTACCTTTATCCTCAGGTTATAAACTGACCAGGCCAAGCCAGTGGCAAGGGTGCTTTTTAACAGTACTACTAAAGAGATCATTTAATATCTGATCTAAATTAAACCACCAATACCTTGGGTTACTCATTTGTTGGGGTTTCCAGCTGGAGTGTAGAGCACACACCTCCAAGTTGTACCCTGACTCGGCCGCGATAGTTGCCTGATTAAATAAAGCAGTCTCTTTTTTAGGTTTTAAGTTAAATATATATAAATATTTCCACTTTCCTCTCATAGATTAAGAAAATTCGGCTTTTGAAAGTTATGAAAAATATGATTTTTTCAGTTTCTCCTGGTTAGCCGGTCCAAAAACGTTGGAATAACTTGTTTAAAATGGACTTTGTCTTCACTATTAACACTCCAGTTCTACTTCTGTTTTTCAGAAATTGGTTTCATATGAGCAGAAAAGGCTTTGTTAGATTAGATCTCTAAGCAAATGATTTCCTGCATCAGATGTGATTAGAGACACACCAAACAGTTACCGTTTCAAATCTCAACCTTGGTTACAGGTGCAACAATGACAATACTAAACAGCATAGTTTGGAGGGTTTTTTCCCAAAATTTTTAACCTTAATAAATTACTGTGCAAAGATTAAGTATTAGACTCTGAATCACTGTCCTGAATTCGCTCAGCTGCTCACCGTATTAATGTGAAATGCTTGAGTGCTTTTGCTCCAAAGTCCTACTCTTTTAACTGCCATGCAGAGCACTTAAAAGAAGAGGGGGCTTGATTTTGGAGATGGAAGGGCCTTTGTCTTTCTTACTTTCCCCCCTTTCACCTGAATAAAAGCCAAATATTCTTTACAGACAGGACAGAGGACGCCTTTGTCTGCCCCCCCGTCACCTCCCCGATGCAGCTGACCGCACATCAAATGGACTTAAGTGGTAGAAAGTTGCCACATACGTCTCTTATAAAGGACACTGACTCTAAGAAAGGGTAGAGTTGTTCTGTTGTATGCAGGGATTTGGAAAGAGCCACCGACTAAACTATGTTTGATCTTTCATGGAGCTTGTCATCACCGAAGGAACCATTTTTTTTTTAGCAAGTGCTGTTTAATGCACGCTAAAAGGTCAAAATTACCACTGAGTTTTATTCCTCCATCATTTGTGAACGATGAGTGGGAAGGTCGGTAAGGATGCAAAGCTCATTTGCATAAAGAAAGAAGGTAAAGGAAAGTGAATCACCTAAAAGTTTAGTAAACATGTCTCCAGAGCAAAGGCAAACTTATACATAGCAGCTGTATTAAACTAGCTGTAAAAACTATATATCATTAAGTGAAGCTTGGATGCATACATGGAAGAAAATGTTGATGTGCTAATTAGTACCAGAAGAGTCAGTGTTTGCAGCATAAAATGTGTAACCTAATGAGCAACCACCTCATCTAACAGCTTGTCCAACATGTCTGGATTTGGATTCTGATAATCCAGGAAAGACGAAGAAAGCACCAGTGCGCCGTGACTCTGCATACCTTTCCTCATCACTGACTGCTGAAGGACGCCTTCCCTAAACGATAATAATATGTCAAAACAGGCAGCTTAAATGTTTTAATAGTTTGGTCCTGGGGTTTAGGGGTAGGAATGGGGGCGGGGGTTCAACAGTGGTAGTTTAGCAAAGTTGTGTTAGGATGCTGTGCACCAGCAAGGCGTGATCATTATAGATTTTGAACCAGTAATCCCTCAACTGTCCTCATTTATTCAGTAATAAGTTACCTAAAATATTTCAAAGCTTTTCCAGCACACTTCAGAGGAAGTGGTTAATTTTCAAACATCCTCTGATGAGACGTTTGCTTTGTATTGCAAAGCTGAATGCAGAGATTTTACAGCTGCCTAGATTTGAGGTGGATCTAAGTTATTCACCAGCTGCATTTTATGCTTATATATTGATACACCAAAACTATGGTCTGTTTTAAAGCAACATTGATCTATGCTACTGATGGGAGCTAACTTGTGACTAATGGATAATGTGTACTATCTGAAAAACACAGTGAATTTTGAGCATTTCTATGAAGCATTTTTAGCCTAAGCTTGGCTTAGACATTGTTTGCGATGTAAACCATCACTAGAATTAAATATCTGTAACTGTACACTTTACCTTTTAAGAAAAAAATTTAACTGAATCTAGAATTTATTAAAATTTCTGTAAAACTCAAGGCTAGCTTTAATGACTAACTGAACTTGTTGCTACGGGCATACAACTACTTATGAATGACAATTTACGAAAGATATTCTGCATTTTAATATTTAATCCCTGGCTTTGATTTGACCAAAGAAGCTTTTATAGAGGTTTACCGCCGTTGCCACGATTCAGGTCAAAATGTCGCCTTAATTTTTATCTTTTTCTGGCTTAATTTAAAGGTAAAAACCCAAATTTGATCACTGTAGAAGCCCTAACTCGCACTGGAAAAGCCAGCAGAGCACCAGCCAATGGAGCTGAGTACCTGTACGGGTCGACTGGTCGGCGTGCTGATGAGGGGGGTGGAGCCCATGGCAGATGCCGCTGTTAGGCTCCGCTCCCTCTCTTCCTGATAGATGCGGTCGCGCTCCGCCTCTGGAAGCTGAAGGAAGTTCTGCATGGCACGCAGGTTGACCAGTAGCGACTGGGACGCCGTCTTGGGGTCTTCTTCCTTCCGTAGGATCTCAGACAATAATCCCTGTAAAAAAAAACAAAAAAACGTGAAGGATTAAAAAAAGTGTGACAGTGATATCACTTGTAAGTGCTTTTGTTGAAGAAAAGCCGCTGTAGCCGTTTCGGCAGACACCATTCTTTATTCATATCAAAGAAAAGCTCAATTCCCTTTCAGCTCCGTCTGTCCATTTACGCGCGACAAAAACACTTCACTGAAACTCGTGTGCATAATGCTCGTAATTTTGCATG